CTTCTCTTCTCTCTTCTCTTCTCTTCTCTTCTCTTCTCTTCTCTCCTCTCTTCTCGTCTCTTCTCGTCTCTTCTCTTCTCTTTTCTTCTCTTCTCTCGCCTCGTCTCGTCTCTTCTCGTCTCTTCTCGTCTCGTCTCTTCTCTCCTCTTCTCTCCTCTCCTCTCCTCTCCTCTCCTCTTCTCTTCTCTTCTCTTCTTTGACTCTTACCACCTCTGCTTTTCATCTGTCCATATTGTCGGAAGTTTGACTTCTAAACTTCCTTCGATAATAAATTTTAGCACCTTTTTTCCCCGATCCCCACAAACGTGAAAACACCAACAGAGTGAAGGCTTAGGGGGCCGGCGGACACAAGGACTTAGAGAGCTGTCGTGGGGTCTCTTTCCATGAAGGATGCCATATCAGAGATTTCCCGTCGGGTTGGAGGCCTTTCCGGAAGAGTGTACTTGATTATTTTCACCTGTTTCTGGGGACCTTGCTTGACAACCTTGCTTGGGAACCTGTTAGCCTGCTCCTGGGAACCTATTCCTGCGAACCTTGCTTGGGAACCTTGTTTGGGAACCTGCTCCTGGGAACCTGGGAACTTTGGTGATGGAGATTTTGGCTGCTCCGACCTGCTCCGAAATTCACTGTGGCTGCCCAAGCTTACACTGCTGGGAAAAAGAAAAGATGTCAATTGATTTCAATTTGCTCTCAATTGATTGCCCTTTTCAACCTTCAAGAAATCAATTGACAAGAAACGATTTCGAGTGATTTCAATTTACGGTCAGTTGATTTTCCTTTGAAACTTTCAAGAAATCAATTGAAAAGAAAGGATTTCAAATTACTTTCAAGGGATTTTCCTTTTTAAACCTTGAAGAAATCATAAGAAAGGATTTCATCTGAGTTCAGTTTATCGAAATCTAAGTAATGATTTCGACTGGTGTCCATCTAAGGTCTACTTCAAGTGATTTTCCTTATACGCCTAAAGAATATGTAAGGACAAGTACGGACTTTGATAGATATCCATCTACGTCGTTCAATTGATTTCCTTTTGGTAACAAGATGGAA